GGGTTTGGGTTTTTGGAATTGGAGTCGGGGTAATTTTTGTTAAGGAATAGAATACAACATCGAATAAAGATGAAAATATAGACGAATTTATAAAGGTTCGTGCAACTCCTATTAATGTTGACATTTTAAAATGAAACCCAAATTTTAATGCCGTATCAGAGCTTATTAAGCTCTAATGAACAATTCGGTCCGATTAACACTAAAAAAAATTGAACACACGAATTTCAAGATTGGTCTGCTCAAACGAGCCACCATCTTGCGGGGGGCACGTTAAGTGATAGAATCCAACGTCGAATAAAGATGAAAATATAGACCAATTTATAAAGATTTAAGTTACCCCTCTTAATAAGGTTGATCTTTTAAGATGAACCCCAAAACTTAACAATTTCTGCCAAATTCAAANATTTATAAAGATTTAAGTTACCCCTCTTAATAAGGTTGATCTATTAAGATGAACCCCAAAACATAACAATTTCTGCCAAATTCAAACTATTTTTGAATGTATTCCAATCCCTAAAGTCCCAATTCCGGTTCATCTAATGGAAGCTCGTGGTATTTTACAAACTATTTATGTGCTGCTAGTAATGATTCGATTGACAACTAAAATGAAAACGAGAAGTCGACGAGCCTCTATTGACGTGTGGCCTGTGAAAGTAATTTGTTCCCTTCAAGGAGATGAAATGGAGATGAATTAGATTGATGTCATCTTTTCGTTCGTAGGATCTCTAATTTTACCTGATAGGCATGAAAGCTCCGTGTTATTAGCAGATAAAACTACATACCATTCAAATTTCAAACCTGAAGGTTTAAATGTTAAATTCAACGGGAGAAAACCACGATAATTTTCAGGTGCCCCTCCAAGAAGCTCGTCTGTGCTTTTTATTCGAAGCTTCTCCTATTTTTCTGAGATGTTACTTTTTGCTGTTGACTTGTTAATTAAGTAGCCTTATAAGCTTAAGCAAACAATGCTATTAATTGCATGTGAGTATTATCAGTTTCTTGGTTGCATGTGTCTACAAATTTAGATTGTAGGAATCCAAATTAGAGGAGAGAGCATTTTATGCTGCAAACTTGGTGCATAAGGTGAACTTTTGTTGATCGCAATGCCAAGTTTTATTATGCTGACTGCTGCAAACGAATTCGTTTATGGAAAATGAAACATTGATTTTTCAGAAATGCCGTAAAATTGATTAGAAATCAATCTCTATCATGCAGTGAATATTTCAAGGAAGTGCCGGAAAGGGTATGGCTAAGCATCATCCTGACTTGATCATGTGTCGGAAACAACCAGGGATTGCCATAGGAAGGCTTTGTGAGAAATGTGATGGCAAGTGCGTGATATGTGATTCCTATGTGCGTCCTTGCACGCTTGTTCGGGTATGTGACGAGTGCAATTATGGATCTTTCCAAGGCCGTTGTGTTATCTGTGGCGGGGTGGGAATTTCTGATGCCTACTACTGCAAAGAATGTACTCAGCAGGAAAAAGATAGGGACGGATGCCCAAAAATTGTCAATTTGGGTAGTGCCAAAACCGATCTGTTTTATGAAAGGAAGAAATACGGCTTCAAGAAAAGATGATGCGCTTCTAAATGGTTTGTGATGGTCGGGGTAGGAGTTGTAGGTAGTCACGGTAAACAACCATTTTGAAAATATTAAGGCGTCTTTGTTGTGCTATTCTGCAGTTTAGATCACTTTTGAATTGGGTTTTTCAGATTCATGTGATTGAAGTTAGCTTCTGCTTGTTGAATTTTAAATTGTGTATTTGAGTGAGGTGTTCTTCCTAGTCTTTATCTATCACAACACTGAAGTTTTTCTTTTATGCTTATTCGACTAGAAGTCTACCCTCTCTGTGTTGTAGTACATTTTGACATCTACTTATTTTAAAGGTATATTTGGGATAAGCTTCTGCTTATCATATAGCATAATCTAGACTAGTATTATGACACCAGTAGCTAGATAGTATTATTCTTTAAAATAAGTGTGTTTGATTTTGATATATTGGACATTCTAATATTAATATTTGAAAAGGAAGATTCCGCTAACAAAATCACGAGTCGTGATTAGCAGATAAATCTTGATTTTACTTGCGCACATAAGGAGTTTAATATCAAAAGGAGAAACTGGGAGCACATAACTGCAATTTCTCGTCAAAGATAAATCTAAGTAATCCTTGAAATAGTGTGTATTTCAATTTGTTTCGAACTAATGAACTATAAAAACCCAAGTATCCACTCATGTTTCTTCACCAAATATTTACAAGAATGCCATCTGTTTTTATTACAAAATGTCGGGATAACTTTAACAGGCTACTCGACCAGCCAAAATACACATAATACTGAAATTATTTTTCTAGTAAAGGAGTGTGCACTTTTACAGGCGGCTCCTATTGCTCGAAGCAGCAGGCTTAAAACTGGCAATTCCAGTAACTTCCCTACCAGTTACCAAGGTGTTGATGTCATATGTACCTTCATATGTGTAAATGGGCTCCAAATCACAAAATGCCTAAAACCAAAAAGAGAAAATTCTAAGAGATTGTGTTATGGGTACAAAGTTATAACAACATCGTACCTCAATCTGTAAGTCCTAGGATAAGGAGCATGTTTGGCTAAGTTTAAAAGATTTCCTGATAAGTAAATAAGCAAGTTGGAAAAACTAACTTATTTTGACAATGAAGCAAGAATTAGTTTCAAAATAAACAACTGTTTTTGCTCAAGAAAAAATAACTTACCTAAATATTCTTGGAAAAAAAAATTACTTAAAAGCACTTTTCCTCATTTTAAGCTTAGCCAAAGATGCTCAAGGTCTGGTTACTCCGGGAATATGCTCCCAGGTAGGAAAATTTTGAAATAAATGCTTACTAACCTTTGCCACCAGAAAGTCAGCTAAGATACCATTACCACCAAGTAATTCCCTTCCCAGAGAGACAGTCTCCCTTGCCTTCAAGGTAATCCATGACTGTATTTAACAGAGATTTAATTCAGCCCAACAAAATAAGAAAAAACACGATTAACCCTCAGTTTCTGACTTAAAATTAAATAAACAACCATTTTCTTACCTTGCCCATGCTGGCATGACCAGGAGTCATTTTACCACTCTCATACAGCTTGCACAGGCGCCAACCGATGAGAAACATTGCTTGAACATTACCCAGCATTTGAACTAGTTTCTGTTGGTTGATCTGGAATGCTGCCAATGGAGCCCCAAATTGCTTCCTCTCCTTCAAGTACCTTACAGTTTCACAAGATGGTGTCATTTTAAGCCACGAGCGGGGAGAATAAATCACATTGAATGGAAAGATCTAAAGAGAACCTGAAGTCACACTTTTTCTTGTAAATCAGTTATACAAACCACAATTAACTCAATCTAATAGGCAAGAAGTCAACAGCCTTCAAAATCTAAAATCCCAATGCACTGGGTCCTAGGCTTTCTCAAAATGAAATCCAATTTGAAGGCACAACGAGGCCTCCGTGTCTTCCTGCGCTAGTTTCTAAGGAGAGAAAAAAATTCCAATAAATCTTCCAAAGTGGGGTTTATACCTTCATTTTAACAGCAAAGATGAATTCTTTGCATGAAAATTTACAAGTCATCTTAATGAAAAGGTGCCCAAAAAGTTAAAAATCTTTTATGGCCATAAACTTGTCAAAGAAACAAAACTTTGAATTGTGGTTTAAGATGTTTCAAATAATGTCATTCTACAACAAACTAAGCCTTATTCTTTATAAATTTGGGATCAACTAAGCCTTATACATCTATTTGGTTTGTTGCTACAACAACTCCATTTGGTTTGTTGCTACATCTACTGCAAGATCAAGTGCAACTAAGTCCCCAAATAATGTTGTTATACAACAACAAACTAAGCCTTATTCTTAATAAATTTGGGATTACATAAATCATTTTTTGCAAATCCATTTGGTTCATTGCTACATCTACTGCAAGATCAAGTGCAACTAAGTCCCCAGCATCCATAACAGCCATGTTGATTTTGTCTACCCCTCGCTCTTCTAACATTTTCTAATGAGATCGCATCACTCTTGTGAACATGAGTAAGGCTACAAAAGACATGTCCCAACAACCCAAGTCATTTTTCACTTAATTTATCTTCAATTAGTGTCACCTATAGTTGTTTGGTTATCATGTTTCAAGATTGTAATTTGCAAATTACTCAAATCATTTTATCTTCATAAGTTATACTTTCTCTAGATTTTTTTCTGAAATTGCCTTAATCTAATTTACTGCTAGATCAATGACTTGTTCTCTATTGAGGAAAAGCTTATTGCTTGAGTTCCATAAGGGGGCTCTTTATTTGAATAGATCATAACCTTGATAAGAAAAGAAACGGGGACAAAATATATAGACTATTAAGGATTATTCAATTAATGGCAGCACTA